CATAAAAAACCTCCCCACCGAGGCGGTGGCTGCTCCGTTTGTCTCAGTTCCTGTCTGATCTGCTTACAGCCGCCGGCGGATCCAGTGGCCTCTTTATCCCCGGCTGAGAAAGGGACAAACAGCACGCCGTCCCGCTGCGCCGCTTTTGTCGCGCTGACAATCATGGCGCCGCCGTGACGTAATTTGGCGCCGGGCGTGAATTGCGCGCCGCCGCCGGCGAGGTAAGCTGGTAATTACCACGCGGCTGTGCGCACTGCTCTGAGCAAATATGCAGCGGGCTGGCGGTAAATACTAACAGACCGGACCTGGATCAGGCCAGCTAGAGGCATTTCAACGAGTATGGAGTTTCCGCTGCACGTTGCCGCGCTCGAAGCCCTGGATCTAAGCCAATGAGCAGCAGCCATCTCCATACTACCAGATCACGCACTCGTTTAGATTTCCTAGTGCGTCTGTCTCACCAGCTCAGACTTGGAGGTTGCAGATCATAATTGTTACGGCGCGGGAAGGAAGGTTGAGTCCTAATGACGGCTGTTCATTTCTGCCATTTGTATTCCTGCCACCGCTCCCGTGTGTCCCGACACCTTTCTTATCCGCTCTCGCGACAGGCCCCTCCGAGGTGTTTCAGCATGCCCTGCACCATGTCCAAGCCCCTGACCCTCTGCGTGATCGGCTGTATTCCTGGGAGACGTGGTCACGTAGGTCACTACTGCCTGCCTTTCACAGCCGCGCCGCGCGCGCACGGTCCGGCCCGGACGCAGCCGCCTCTCTCACAAGGCTGCCACCGTATGGTGTCAGACGTCAGCTGCGGTCAACGAGTCTGGAGGTGATTCTTCTTCATGCGGTCTTCAGCTTCATGGTGACCTTTGCTTCCCAGGCTTTAACAGGTCCTTGACTGGTTGCACACAAGAGGTGCGCGTTTGAGCTGATTATCATTAAGTTCTCCACACGGCAGCACGGAGAACGGTGCAAAATGCTTTGGACGCCAGTTATGTGACTGGGTTCCACAAATAAGTGTCGATGGTTCCACTGATGGATGTTTCCATGGACGTCTGTCGCACAGACGCACGTTCCTTCATTATGAGCATGCTTGTCTCTCTAACTGCTGATACTGCAGTCTCCTCTTTAGACCTAAGCAAAACTGGCTTGCATAGAGGTCTGGATGGAATGAGTTATCAATGACGATGGTAGAGTGAAGAATTGTGTAGGACATTGGGTGAGCTGGGTCGATATATTGGTCAGACTGCGTTTGATTAAGGAATCCAAGAGCGTGGAGTGGGTGAGCAGGTTAGATCTTAAATTAGTAGACGGATTGCACGAGACGTTTAATGTACAATCTGCGAAGTGTTCTCCCCTTCCTGGGGCTTTCTGAACCGGATGCTACTGTCCTGGAATGTTGGGTGCAGCGTATCCCTCAAATGGCAGCAGAGTTCCAACATGCTGCAGAAACTTTCGATGAATATTGCTGAAGAAGCATACGGAAATCTTAGGGGCGGTAACCAATCGAAACATGTCTATTGCACTTTGTACACAATATGGTGAAAAAATCGGCCGGGTTCTCGATTAGTCTGAGCATGCCTGAAACTGCATGCCTCCCGCTGTAACGTCGCAGTTTTAAGTACCACTGACTGCTGCATTACAGTATACGACAGCTTACATGCCAGCCACCCTTTATGACGCGCTCCGAGTGATATTGAACTCCTGTGCGTGGGGATTCCAGCCGGTGTGAGGGGATCAAAATACATGCAGCAACAGTTCTGTGCGGGTTCGAATCAGCTGAGGGTCTCCAACACACCACACATAACGCCCTCTAGAAAGCCGCGTTACACGACCAGACAAAGAAAGTCGCCGGGCGGTACATCAGTGTCAACTGTGGCCAGTGTCTGGGAATGAGGACACTGAGCACGGAGGACAGGCGCGGACTGAGGACGGCGGCGGTTTGCATTTTGTGTGTCCCGAACAGCTCAAACATTTAGCGGTCCTCCCACGGGTGCAAGGAGAACCGAATAGCGTTTTAAGGACGGTCTTAAAAAACGGCAGACTTGGATGCCTTGTCTGCCAATTAGCGAAACCTGTGTTTACCCAATGGTTAATAGCTCAGTTCCTGTCATCCTGTGTTTAATGCTCCCTGTTGTAGTTCACCGTCTTCCAATCCATCCACCCTTTGTTTGTACAACTTCAGGACAGAAGCACACGAAAAACCATCCTGAACATCAATCAATGACCTTAACATGAATACGACACCAGTCTGCAGCACTGACCGTGCCTTTCCTCACGCTGCCCTCAGCCCGACACCGACAGCGGGCGCCAGGCCGGCCGGCAGCGGCGCGCCGACGTCCGCCTTTGAAGCGGCCGCCGGGTCCAGCGGAGGGGTCGGGGCGGGCTGTTAGCGAGCGGACGCCAGCTCGGCCATCGCTCATCATCGATTCCCCCCCCCCCCTCCCCCACGCGGAAGGGGTCTGGCTGGGAGATCCCAGATGTGTGTCCGCTGACCACTCCGCCAGCAGGTGCTGCGCAGATTGCCTGCTCTGGCCTCCGCAGCGCGCCGACTCGCCACTCCTCTGCACGGACATGACTGGACGCGAAAGGCCCGCAGGAGGATGAGCGCGAGATGGCCCAGAAGTCTGAAAGTCCGAGCTCCAAAATTAAACTGAACGCAACAATTAGGTGACCTTGAATGCTTCTTCATGGATCCCCTGCTTCAAGAAGAAATTTCTACCCCAGCCTAGAGATAGAGTACATGTTAGAGTAAAGCTTACCGTCCTATGAAGGCTATTGGGTAAGAATGAGGTGTATGCATCCATAGCGCTCAGCAGAAATTTAAAAAGCCGTAATCGTGGCCAGCGATTTCGCTGCTGACCTGGCCCCACAAAGCTCTACAAAGTTCTGCATGTTGTACTGAATCGCAAAGCCTCTCACGGATTGAAATCGCAAACAACCAGTCTAATCCATGATTGGACAGCAAAAACTGAGCAGCCCGGAGCGCGTTCCAGCGAGCCTTGCTCCAGGGCGTGCCGCAGGACGGCGGCCGGCCCTGCAGCGGGCGGTGGCCGGCCCCTGCAGCGGCCGTGCCTGCAGAAGCCCGGAGCGCGCTCCAGCGAGCCTCACTCCAGGGCGTTCCGCGGGGCGGTGCCCGACCCCTGCAGCGGCCGTGCCTGCAGAAGCCCGGAGCGCGTTCCAGCGGGCCTCGATCTATGGCGCCCCACAGGACGACGGCCAGCCCCTGCAGCGGCGGGTAGCCGGCCCCTGCAGCGGCCGGTGGCCGGCCCCTGCAGCGGCCGGTGGCCGACCCCTGCAGCGGCCGGTGGCCGACCCCTGCAGCGGCCGGTGGCAGGCCCCTGCAGCGGGAGGTGGCCGGCCCCTGCAGCGGGCGGTGGCCGGCCCCTGCAGCGGCCGTGCCTGCGGCCCCATCCACCGTCAGCGGATCTGAGCAACCCGAGCCGGCCTGCCGACGAAACAAAGGCACGTTGCGCGGCGGGACGACCGGGCGCCCGGCCGCCCGAGACACCTCCGGGGAGGGTGTGGGGGTGTGGGGGGGGGGGGGCGGTCACAGCTTGGAAGTGGGTCGGCACGGCTGGGCTACTGAGGGCTGCTTCTGTGGGTAACTCATTCTGCCTTTGACGGACAGTTCCCCTAGCTCAAGAACGTGTCCAGTGGAACCTACGTTTCAGTTCATTGCGGACGCTACGAGGCTGCTAGGCATGAGGGACTTAAAACTGCCGTGAGTTATGGTGTTCACCTTTTGCGATGTGCCCCGGATTGATTTCAACAACGTTTCATCTGTGGCTGCTGGTGTGGAACAGCTGGAGGTTGACCAATGAATACCAATTCGGTTGGAAGTTGACACGCTTAGCTAAGAAGTTCATTAACCTTACGAGTTTTTACGCACATGTACGTTGCACTTTCCCTGCCGTGGCGTGGCCAGAATTTCGCCCGGGATGGCGGCCAAACAAGGTTATAGCGGGTCTTTCAGCCAAAACGTCGCTCTGTCGGCTAAAGGCCGTGTTTTTGGATTCGGGGAGCTTTTACGCTCGGAGACTAATTCTGGTGTCCCAGGATCCCATGGTTTTCGGTATCAGCTATGAAGCCTTACAGTCCGTTTGTCTGTGTCAAATACATTTTCTTGGAATTTATGGCACGTGACATGAGGCATCGAAGTGATAGAAACATGTCGAGGCTCGTCTACATGCTACGTTACGTCTGGAGAGTGGGGCGGGGTGGGCGGGAGGTAGGGCGTGGGGGCGGGGCGGTTTGATAGAACGTAACCGAAGCGTATCAAGGGGGAATAAACTACGAAATATTACGCTCAGGTGTGGCCACAATTCACGCCAAAGGCTCTAAAATGTGTGGAAGTTTGAAGGCAGAATGGCATTGGCCTTCTCTTATGACAAGAAACACGCTCGTCTCTGCTCCGCTCCTTCAGCTCAGTAAGACGCCGGACAGATGTTACCTGTTTGTAACGCTTCGTGGAAAGGGAATGCCCCACACTGAAGACACTGAAGAAGCAAGCGTGAGATATGATGAAGTAAGCTCACTTGTACCTAATGGTATATTTTTTAATGGAAAACATCGCTGAGCCTCTCACCGGGATGCGACTCACCACTGGCCTCACTGGAATGGGGCCCGTCATCTGGACCAACTTCATATAAGAATGCTGGGACGCTGGATTCTAAAAGGCTAGATACGAGTCCAGGGAGGTCGACATGTGGCACGGAAGACCATGCAGGACGTCGTAAATGGCGTAGGCGGCAAGCCCAGAATTAACAGACATCGGCAGGGTACGTTTCTTTACTAAAAAAAACACGGTTGCAGAAGCTCCAACCCGGTAGTTGGACGCGGTTCCACGTGCCGCCGTCGTGTTGACCTCGCGTAGGACCCGCCCCGCCCGGCGCCCGGGCGGCGGGAGGCCCCGCCCCCTCGGCGGCGGCACCAATGGCGACTGCGGCCCTCTTCTCCGCCGCCGCCGACGCGACGCTGCCCCAGTCGCCAAGCGTGAGGCACGCCCGGGCGGCGGAGGGGTGCGATGAGAAGTGACCCTGCTCGCCCCGGTCGCCAGCACGTCAACAGGCGCAGTGACGTCAGAGGCGGTGATGGCCAGCGGCCGGGCCGCGGTCGCCAGTGGCCGGCCGGACGGCGCTGATGTGGGGTGAGTGGGCGGCACGTGGCGGCGGCGCGGGAGCCGTGCGGCAGGTAAGTCTCCCCGCTGTCGCCCGCTACGGTGCGGCGGAGGCAGCACTGCAGCGACCAGCGCCGATGTGGAGCGCTGTTGATGAGTTATATGGTTAAGGAATGGAAGTGGTTACGCATTTGGTGCACGTGCTAGGCTTGTTGCTGCTGGCTCAATAAACCCCGGAGTGATGTCATGATTCCGCGAGTAACTGCGCGCAGGTGTAGTTACCGTGGCGAAATGTGGCAAACAGACTGTTATTATGACATGTGGTTTAAAAAGGACCTGCCACATCGCGATGTAAATATGTGAGGGACGGCCAAACCCGACACACATTGACACCAAACGCAAAAAGCCAAGCCCGAAACATTATGATTCGTGATCATAAGCACAGCTTGGGTCGCCAAATGCTGTCAATACAACAATGTCTATTCTGTCATGTCGTTAAACGTTCACCCTCTTAAAGGGGATGGGCGGGTGAGTGGAATTGTCTGAGGTTTTTGGAGGATACCGCTCTGACATGCTAATAAATTTTGCCCGAATTTTCAGTAACTTATGGGGCGTCAATTGCCCGTGTTTTGACGCTAAAAGGTGCTCCTTACCTGTCTACGTTTGGAGCAGCGGCGGTTTTTAGGAACACTGCACGGCGATCTGCAGCCTGTACAGAGCGGCCGGACGGCAACCAACGATTTCGTGGAAATTTTACCAACACCGCTGCATTGAGATAGCCATATATTACAAAGGTACGTTGAAAACACTTAAAATATGCATTAGCGTACTCAAAATTGATCATGGAACACGTCTGTTTAATTTTTCGTCACCGCAAGGAATGGTCTCGTAGGTATGATTTGAAAAGCCGAAAAAGTGCGATCTTTGGAAGATTCCACGTTTGACCTGCCTGCATGGAGTCAGTTGTTGCCCTTATAACACAAACTAGTGATATATTGAAGGCCATTGATTCAGCATGAGAACTGTGAACTCAGAATGCAGAAAAATTACGAGTTAAAGACATTTCTTGCTTACATGAAGCCATGGCGGTGCTTGGCATTTCGAGACGGAGGTTTGCTATTCAGTTGGGGGCCTTAGCCGGCCCCCCCCCCACACTTTTACTCTAGTCCCCGCTCAGCTTTAAGAAGAAAGTGGGCCAAATCCGTGGATCAGCGCGTTTTTTTGGCCATTTTAGGGATAGGTTTCATAATTTTCACTTCTCAGCCGCAAACCCATGCTGCGAAATTGCGCCCATTTTCGGTGTTTTCGACATCGGGATGTGACCGCTTCAAACGGCCAAAAGCAGTTTGCGGGATAAGAGCCCTGCACATATTGGAATGGGCATTGCGGAGTGAAAATCGATGGCACCGAACACCCCATCACCATCATCACCAACAGCCCGTGCGCGTTGAAGGGATCGTGCAGAGTTTGAACACATTCCGTGAAGCCTTCCCTGGTGAAACTCCATGACCAGTTAGACGTAATAAAAGCACGGGTAAGTGCCACTGAAGTGACAACAAGATATAAGAAAACAAAATAATTGATAACTTTTAAGCCCTAAGTATTGGACGCAAAATGACCTTGCCCGTCGACACGCTCCAATATCATGACCAAAGTCCTTAGTGCGCAGCGCTAGTTCCGGCACAGCACTAGGCAATTTGCTTTTTTCGTGGGCCTAGATGTCGTTTATGGAATGCGCAATCTTAGCATATACAAGTAGGAATTTCAATGGGTCGGGGGGAGGGGGGCTTGTGTGTTTTTGGGAAGCGCCGAAACTCATGAGCCTTACCCATCCTATCGTCCAGACACATTTGGTCCAGGATGTCGTCCACTTTATTCTGTGGCTATAATTTGGACTTGCCAAAAGAAGTCATTCAGCTCATGGTTGTTTTGGTATTATGATTTCAAGGTTCTTGTGTTTTTGGACTTGCTAGAACTAGTCATTCAGCTCCTGGTTTTTGGTATTATGGTTTCAAGGTTCTTATGTTAAGTTAACGAACTTTAATGTACCAGGTACCAGGAAGTCCTGGGTGAAAAGCGTGGTAATGCTAAACAGCGGTTATATTGACCGTACTCAATACTTCGAGCTGCGTTCATCCTGAAGAGTCCATCCTTTCAGCATGAGCCCAGGACAGCAGACGGGCGTTGGCATCTTAGTCACGTGTCTTAATAGGCATTTCATGGCTCCTGAGAATGCGTCTCGATGATTTTGTATCTTGTGTTGGTTTAAACACAAGCTATTTGCTGGGCAAAAACCAACCACAGTTTGGTCACAGCACCTTTCTGTCATAGTGGATATCGCACATGCAAAAAAACGATGCTTCTTCGAGGCTGCAGGAAGGCTGCAATTTTGAGCAGCCTTTCGACTGGTTTCGGAAGTGCTCACAGGGCTCGCGACAATACTTCATTTGAATGGTGTGATGTCAATGTTGCAGGAATATCGAAATTTGATTATTAAAACTTCCGATTGCAATCAAACAATACTTTGCAACACCATCTACGACCTTTTACGAAATTTTACTTTGACTTCTCATGAGTTTTTGGCAGAACCTTCATTTTGGAACCATATCGTCTTTATTTCCGAGATGCACCAAAGCCCAGGCGCACTGCAAAATGTACCACACCTTTCCGCTCGAGATACACCTAATTCCAGGGGCACCACAGCATCCGGTCTGTACCCATTTGACGAAATCCTTGATAGGCCCATTCGACAATGGAGTACCAAAACCATTATGTCGAGGCACCATGCTGCTTATTTTCGAGATGCACAAAGTGGACGATTTGGAGCGCACCGGGGCCTCCATTTTTAAGGAAAACCACTTTTTATTTGTTTTCCACCCGGACCAAATCCTCGATTGACTGCTACGGGAAAGAGGCACAGAAAACATTAATTGCACAAAAGTACCGCTTAAAGAGGCACCAAATTCCAGGGACACCACAAAGAGCTTCAAAATATTCATTTTCAACAGATCACAAATTTCAGGGTTGTCACCGCAATGTTAGTACCGATCTATCAACGAAACCTGGGATGGGCTCATTCGGCGATGGATCACCTAAACCTTTCATTGTAGGGCAACATCATTTTTTTTTCGACAGGCTCGAAATGTAAGCGGGTAATTTAAAGCCGACCCCAACATCTTTATCTGCAAGGGACACCAAAATCAGGGGCCACACAACTTCTGTGTGCCATCCGCTCTTGCAATATCTTAGGTCAGCCGCTCCGGCGAAGAGATCGGGGTCCGATCGGAGGGTTCCAAGGACAGGCCGGGGGCATGCGAAGGGAGCCCGGTCAGAAGGCCGGAACCCTCAAAAGTCAGGACCCCGGTCAGAAGGCCGGAACCCTCAAAAGTCAGGTCCCGGTCAGAAGGCCGGAACCCTCAAAAGTCAGGACCCTGGTCAGAAGGCCGGAACCCTCAAAAGTCAGGACCCCGGTCAGAAGGCCGGAACCCTCAAAAGTCGGTCGGAGGGCCTCTCGGACCGGTCGCGGGCCTCGGGGACATTGAGAGACACTCGATGTCAGTCAGGTGACGGAGGCCACGAATATCGAACAGTCGGTTCCGCACTGGTCTGGACCCTGGGGCCCCCTTTCCCAGTCAAGGACAGGGCAAGGGTCTGCAAATGTTTATCAGAAACCTCTTGCATTAGTTATGCTCCTAGGACCGCGGGGGGGGGGGGGCTGTTGTGCTGGTCAGGGGCCCACAGTGCCTAACAGAGGACCCCGTGTTGACAATGAGCCCAAAGTCAGTCACGGGCACATTTGTTGAACAGGGACAGAAGCGGGACCCCAATGTCAAAAAGCTTCTTGCGTTGGTCAAGAGCTTCTTGACAATGAAACGAGACGTGAGCAAAGACGATACCAGGGTTTGCATTCGCAATACGACGGTGACTTACATCAGTCAGAGGTCCTAGTACCAAACAAGGGGCCCTCCGCACTGTTTTAACCAAGGGCGGACAAGCCGAGTTGGTCTCTCGGCGCCAATCATTAGACTGCCTGCGCCGATTAAGGATCCTTTTGCGTCGGTAGCAGTCTCTGCGTCGATCCTGTGCCAGACGCCCAGATCGGAGGGCCCGCCGGATCGGGGACGGGACCTGTGTATGGTGTTCCCTCTGAGGGTCTCCGGACCGATCAGGGCGCCCCGGCCCCCGTGTCGCTAGAATAGTAGTTGCTAGATACCCGAGGCTGGGACGGAAAGACCCTTCAGCTCTTGACCAGGAATCTTCACCTGTGCTATTGGGAAGTGGATTCTCTGAACGGAATTAGCGAGAGCAACACGAGGAATTGAGATTACGTCATTGTGTCATGAGTGCGTGGCTTTTTACGCGCTAACCTGTTCCGGGTATTTATCTTAAAATCGCTAATGTAAGATCTTCGGCCTAGGATACGTTTTGCACGAGTACATCAGTGGTTTTCCTTGACGAGCATGCATTGGACGTATAATGCAAATTTTGAACCCTGTCTCGACCTGCGCTAGTGTAAAATTTGCGAGCGCATTAAAATCCTTGTAACAATACCCCGAGAAATTCTGGCAACGTCGCTGACTGTAAGCGTTTTATCAAAAGGATTGAATGGATAAATGCTAAGTGAATGGCGTCCCCGGTTAATTTGATGCAAATTGGAGTCTCTTAAGTCCTGGTTTATTTCAACTAAGTTAATTCTAAATGCAAGCAGAAACGTATGTTCTGGTAGTTTTCGGACCATTTTTCAGGCGGAGTTTCCATATCTAAAACAGGAAAATAACCTCTCGAAAAACGGCTGAAAACGCTGGCTCGTTTTTTTTACAAAAACAAATATACGATTTGCATTGGACGATACCTAGAGTAAGATTTACCACAGTTGAGAACATTGTGAGTGCAACAACAAGACTAGCAGTAGAGTATTTCCGTAATGGAACGAATCTAAAAAATATGGGCAGGGCTGAAGTTGCTCCGCCGATACGCTCACATGCAGCTGATAATGTACATACAGATGTACATACATATAATGATGCATA